CCTCTGTCCATCTTCCCACCACCATGTCTGAATACCACCTTTATCCTCTTCCCACTGCTGTGCCTGAATCCCACCTCTGTCCATCTTCCCACCACTGAGCCTGCATCCCACCTCTGTCCATCTTCCCATCACTGAGCCTGAATCCCACCTCTGTCTATCTTCCCACTGCTGTGCCTGAATCTCAGGGCATTTGTTCCTTCCTGAAGAATTATCTTGGGAATTACCCTCTCAGAGAAGCATTGCTAATTGACCTTCTCCCTCTTCCAAGTTCCTATTGCACTGCATATTAACCTTCACTGGATGCCTCATCCCTTAGGTACAATCCAGTTCGAATAGTGCTGCTCTGAAGTTTGCGGTGTGTGTCCTTTGAGTAAAAGTCTGGGAGTGGAATCGCTGTGTCATGGGCCATGCACAGGTTGCACTTGAGTGGGTACTGCTAACTGGTTGTCCTGGTTTGCACCCCCCCACACCTGCAGCCGTGAGGGTTCACGGTGCTTCACATCCTCACAAACAGGGTTTTCTATGTTTTTCATTTTGGCCATTCTGGTGGGTGTGTGGTGGTATTATATTGTGGTTTGAATTTGCATTTCCCTTATGACTAATGAAATTGAGCACCTTTTCATGTTTATTGGCCATTTGGAGAGCCTCTTTCATGAAAGATGTATTCAAGTCTTTTGCCTGTTTTTCTAGTGATTTCTGTCTGGTTCGTATTTGTCATTGGTGGTGGTGGTGGTCCTGTCACTATGCGTGGTGACCTTTGAGGATCCCATCTTCCCATCTGATCGTGAGCTCCTTGAGATTTCTGGACCCCCAGTGCCTACTAAGACCCTCCAATAGTAGACCCTGAATACGTGCTCGCTGTTGGTTAAATAAACCCTCTCTGATCCCTACTTTCCAGTAGGATGACCATTCTCTTTGAGAAAGAGTGATGGAGGAAGTAGGTGGTAGAGCGGTTCTGCTTTCTCTAGAGCATCTGTAACTATGGCCCCACCTGCCCGGAGTGGCTAGCCTTATCCCCAGGCTTGAGTTCTGAAAATAACTCTACAGGCCCTTTTTGGGTCCTTGGTGCTTTTCTCAAGCCTTCCTTTCCCGACAAGCTCACTCCTCCTTTGTGTCCATTCTCTTTCGGGGACCTCCCTTCTGTCTTTGCCATACATCCCAGGAATCACGCTTCCAAGACATCAGATGTTTAGAGGAACACAGTTTATCAGATGGCTTGATTTTAACCCAAGGAAACCTTCCAGCTGCTGTCCAGGTCAGGCATGCCACCATCCCGAAGCCTTGCTGCGGATCAACCTGAAGATTCATCTGAGAAAAGCAGCATCCTTACCTCAGTCAGGCGAGGTGTGCGTGGTCCCATATCCATCTCTCTTCTTTTCTTCTTTTGTCATCCTTGAAATCTCTTTATTGTTCCCTCATTCATTCGTTATGCACTCATTCATCCAGCAAATATGTGCGAGGCACTCTTCTAAGCCCTTGTGGAGCTTACATTCTAATGGGGCTGGAGGAAAAGGATGGGCAGCACATATGATAAATAATAAGTAACATGTACAGTGTGTCCGTTGGTAGTAAGGGGTGGGAAAAATAAAACAGGGTGTGCCAGAGGTAGGGTTTGCCAGAAGCCCTCCTTGAGAACATAACGTAAAGACTGGAAAGAGGCGAGGGAGTGAACCTAGAAGACATCTGGGAGAAGAGCAACTCCAGGCAAAGGGAACAGCAAGTGCAAAGGTCCTGAGGCAGGCGCGTGCCTGGTGTGTTGGCTGTGGTCATTCTAGTCCCCAGGAGGCGACACCTTCCAGGGTGGCGTCAGCAGATCTCAGTATCTGAAATGAAGGGTGGTGTATTAGTCATGTTTGTATCTACCACAGCATCGAGCAAAATATCTTGTGGACATATTCACTCGATAAGGGAAGTTCTTCTTTGAGTAAATGAATTTAGGTTGGACACCCTCTTATGGGCTTCCTCCTATCGTGGCAACCTCTAGCTGGCTAGTCAGATCTATTACTCAACCGCTCTGAGCGCCAAGTGTAAGGCTTCCAGCAAATGAGGCAGGAGCTGCTCTGCCTGATGACCCAGCTTGGGAAGCCACACGCTGTTGCGTCTGCTGTTACCAGTTGATCAAAACAGTCACAAGCCCGCTCAGGCTCCACGTCTTGATGGGCAAGGGGCACGGCTGCACCGTGGAAGAGGCTATGGGATGAGAGATGGGGTGACCCCATCTTGGGAAAATACAGCCTCGTCACCTACCTTCTGTTTTCCCTGGGGAAGAATTCTCATTTTGTGTTGTCATGGGGTTGTGGAGGGTTTTCGGATATTTGCCGGGCAGCCTGGCCAGCATAAACTCCCAGTGGAAGGTGGTTGCTGAGCCCAGCGTCCTCTCTCCTCCCACGCCTGCCCACCCTCCTGCCCCAGGGATGAGCCGCCCCCACACCCCCCAGGTGTGGGGATGGTGGGGAGTCAGGCACGGAGCTTGTGCTCTGCAAGGTATGTACACGCCTGGGGTGCAGCAGGCAAACCTTGTCGTTATTTTTTTGCTCGGTGTGATAATGGTATCTTCAGGTTGGAGAACGCCCTTGTTCTTAAGGGGTGCGTGCTCAGGTGTTAGATTGAACCATATGCACTTGCTGATACTCACTCCTGTTTGATACAGTTCAATCTAACATTTAATAGTGATTTGTCATGATATCGCAACCAACAGCTTGCTTTCAAATGGTTTAGCGCGCGCGTGTGTTGTCAACCTAAGGATTACTCTGCCCACTGGCTTAGCAGCCAAATAGGGGTGAGGCTGAAAGCAGATAGAGGTGGGACACCTCTGCCTGCCTTCCATCCATGACTCCCACCCACAGCCTGCCTCTGACCCAAGCCCCGGCTGCTGGGGGGGCTCACTGCGCCTGCAGGCCCATAGGACTTGCCCCCAGCCTGAATGGGTGATGCGAGGTTGCTCAGTGTCTGTGTGTAGAGACCCCCTCCCTGCCCTGGCATCGCTGGCAGGGAAGGAGGCATGTATCTGCTCAGGGCCTGGGGCATCAGCTGTGGGTGAAGCACGGGAGTGCGCAGAGGAACCGCTGAAGGAGGCTCTGGTTAAGGATGAGGAGGGAAGAGGGCTGGGGCAGGGGAAGGGGTGCAGAGAGGGGCTCTCCAGGGGCAGCTGGATTTTCCTGGAAGGGTGGGCAGGTAGGAGCAGGGTACGCTTCGCTTCCCGGGGAGGTGAGAAGGGGGCTGATCCTCTGCCCAGCTTCAGGGTCTGCTCTTCCGTCCAGGGGAGGTTTTGAAAGAGCCCAGGACCCTTTGTGTGTGTGTGGGGGGGGGCACTTGCGAAAAGCCCCTGGGTGCCTCGCCCTCCTCTAGGGGAAACCTGGCCCCACGGGGTCTCCCCGAAACCCCCGCACCACCAGCCTGGAAATTCTCAGAGAAATCAGGCCTGGGGAAGCCCCCCTACGTGACCCCCCCGCCCCCGGAAGGGTCTGCAAGGGGTCTTCCTGCAGAGAGGGCTCCCCAGCGCTCACGGCCCTGCGCCCCTGTGCACCCTGGAGCTGCAGACCTCTCCGTCGGCCACATCCTGTGCCCCGGGGTGCGCGGGGCACGGGGCGCTCTCGAAGCACAGGCCAGATGTGCAAATTCTGTGGTTGTGCCCGGGGCCGAGCACAGCACGGCTTGCTTTTCTTGGAAATCATTGGTGATTTGTTAGAAAAACAGGAAACACTGGGGCTGCTGGTGTGCATTTTGACTTTTCTGTTTTTGTTTTTGAACTTCTTTCATCTGTCCCCAGGCCCAGGACGTTTTAAGGGTATTTCTGGTCAACCCTGGCCTTTAAGCCCCCTCTTCACCATGCCTCCCCCTGCTGCCTATCCTCTCTCTCTCTCTGTCTGTCCCTCTTGCCTTGTGCCCCCTTCTCCCCCACCCCCAATCACTGCTGTGGGGGGCAGGCAGGTCTCCAGAGCCATGGAAACAGGTGTTGCATCTTGGTGATGCCGTCACTTGGTGATGCAGGGGCATGTGCTTTTGTGGAGTCGGGCTTCCCTGCACCTGTCCCCCCGCCCCGTCTGCGGCCCCCCCGACCTTTATCACCGTGGTTAGACGGGAAGCAAAGTAGTCTCTGTGCACCGGGACTACTGCAGCTGGGGCCACTGTCCCCTTGCTGGGGGACGGAGGTGGGTGGCGTAGGTGGGAAGGAAATGCTTCATCCCTCCTGGGTCAGACTGGAGCTGGAAGGGCCCTCAGAAGGCACTTTTTCTGTGGAGACACTGAGGCCAAGACAGAGAGGACTCTGCACAAGGCCCCAGATGCGGTGCCTTGACTTTAGAGGAAGAACGGGAAGGGGCTGAAGAGGTCTGGGTCCAAGCTCTGGCTCTGCCCCAAACCATCCCCTCCCTGGCTATGTCTCAGAACAGCAGGAGGTGTGCAGTTGGGGGAGGGGAAGCTGTGGTCATTTTGTGCACTGAGCATGTAGTAGAAGGCCAGAAAGCCCCCCTTTGGTGCTCACCACTTGGTGAGTTTCCCCTGGGTCTCATCTTGCTAGGGGGTGAACTCTGAACATGCCTGATGGTTCGTTTGGGGCTGTATTCAGGGATTTTTGTTGTCCATCCCCCACCCCATAATGGGCCACCCCATATGGAGACGCCCATCTCCCATTTTATGGATGAAGAAACTGAGGTCCACAGAGGTTATGTGGCTTAACTCACTGTTCTCTGTTAACCCAAGCAGCCCCCCAGGAGGCGGGAGGGCAGTGGCTCTCTGCCCAGGGAATTGCTGTGCCCCCAGGGCCCCCCTTGCTGGGCTCTGCCCTGGGTTTTCATTCAGTGTCTCTGTACCACACATTTAGCTGGGGCCTCCCCCTCTCCCGGGGGACCTGTGCTTAGGGACTGCCCTTCTGAAGTCATATAAGAAGTCTGATATGAGAGATTAGAAACTCCCCAAACCTCTCCAGGGTGTTATTTTAAGAAGGCATTAAACTGTCTTGAGAGAGCTAGGACAGGTAAGACTAAGAATAAGATGGGAACCAGCAGGGGAAATGGAAACACTATTTAGGGCCCTTCCCAGAGGAGAAGGGGATTTGAGGAGTTCCAGACTAGGGAAGGAGGGTGAGCAGGAAGATGACCCCTCCTCACAGCAGGACTCCTGAATACGGTGATCTGTATCAGGCCCTACTCTCCCTGCCCACATGCCTGTTCCTCTGGGTCATACAGCCTCTGGGGAGCAACGGCTCTTACCCAGGGGGTCCAAGAACTTGCGTGGGAAACCTGCAACCATGTTGGTTGTCACCCACCTCTAACTGAATGAAGCTCAGTGTTTCTTCCATTATGAATGCAAACAACAAGCCACAGTCATATTAGTAGTGCCTGTGACTTGGTCCCCAGTAGAAATCCAGGTGTGGTCCTATCACTTTGCATGTCATGTTGGGAGCATCTCAAATGTCATTTATGCTTTTGACTACTTTCAAGTGATAATAGTGCTTAGACAGCTGCTGGATTTTGTTATTTCATGTGTTGATGAGGAGAACATAAATGGCCGTTTCACAAGGTTGATTATTACAACAAACTAGTAGACTGCCAATTTGTTGTAATAATCAGTATTTCAGTGTAATTCATTTCCTTTGCTGTCCCATGTATTTTGTTCTGTGCATTTGAAACATTATTCTGAAGAAGGGCCTGTAGACTTCAGATCTAGGGCATAAAAAGGTTAGGAATTCCCGCTGCTAGAGCAACTAGGGAAAAAATTCTGGATGTTACCTGAGAGCTGAGGGGGGCTTCGACGTTAGGCAGACCTAACTGGCATCCTTCCTGCAGACCCTGAGAAAGTGGCTTTATTTCTCGGAGCCGTAGTCTCTTCACGTGTCAATGGAGGTAAAAGAAGGTCTACCTTGAAAGCTTGCTCTGTGCATATGCCTGCCTGGTTGGTGATAGTGAGAGTGGTTTATTTAAGCCCATGAGACTCAAGCAGGCTCCTTTTTTTTTTTTTTTTTTTTTATCACAGAGGAGATTCCAGGCTAGGTCCATTTCTTACTATCCTTTATGCAGAAGGGAAACGTGCATACCTGGATAATGTCTCTCATCTTTTTCTTTTGCTCTGGACAGGAGCAGGTGGTCTACAGGTATCCAATATGAACGTTGATCCATAAACTGAAGTATTTAAGAACTAGGCGTGATATGGCCATACGGTGGAATACTATTCAGTCATGAAAAGGAATAAGTATTATAACACACTACAACATGGATGAATCTAGAAAACGCTAAGTAAAAAAAGCTAGATGCCAAAAATAGTATGTTGTGATTCCACTTATATGAAATGTCCAGAATAAGGAAATTCATAGAAACAGAGAGTAGATTAGTGGCTGTCAGATGATAGGGGGAGGGAGAAGTCACTGCTAATGGGTATGGGGTTTCTTTCTGGAGTGATGGAAATGTTGTGGATTTAGATCGTGGTGATGGATACACAACATAGTGAATATGCCGAAAGCACTAAAGTGTGCACCTTAAAATGGTGCATATTCTATTATGTGAAGTATATCTGAATTTTATAAAGTTAATCACTACCGATCCCATGGACATTAAAAAGATAATAAAGGAATATTATGAAAAACTCTATATCCACAACTTTGATAACTTAGACAAAATAGACCAATTCCTGAAAGACACAATCAAAGCTCACACAAGGATGGATCATTGGAATAGATCTGTATCTATTAAAGAAATTTAACCAATAATTTATAACCTTCCAAAATAGAAAGCACCAGGCCCAGATGGTTTCACTCGTGAATTTTGCCAAACATTTAAAGAACAATTATATCAATTCTGTACAATATGTTCCAGATTATCTATGTAGA